ATAACAAATAAACTACAGCAAGTTCAACTAAAAGCTCAACAAAATATTGAAACAGCTCAACAAAAACAAAAGGAAAGGCATGATGAACATGTTAAGGAAACTTCTTTTCATATTGGTGATAAAGTCTTATTATATCGGTCAGCACAAGCTAAAGTGCATGGTGATAAATTTAGAGAAAAATGGAAAGGTCCTTACTATATTCATGATATAGTTGCTCCTGGTGCTTATAAACTTCATTCAATAGATAATAAAATTTTAAAAAGGACAATTAATACTAATCGTTTAAAATTATATTTTGATTGACCATTATGGGAACCTATTATAGTTATTAGTTAAAAACAATAATTCCTTTCTTTTCTTCTTCTTTCTTCAATTTTATTTTATTTAAATTTTCTTTAAAAAATTTTTATTTACAAAAAAATTGATAAAATATATATATATTATATATATATATACTTATATATATACAAAAAAAAAAAAAAAAAAAAAATTTTATTTTTCGACTTCACGACTATTATTATTATTATTACTACTATTATTATTATTATTATTATTACTATCATTATTACTATTATTAACATTTTTCTTTTTTGTATTAGTATTTAAAAATTTTAATTAAAGGTTTTCACGTTTCAACTCTCTGACTCGCTTCTCCAAGTTATTGATTTTCTGCTGCATCTCCTTCTGTGACTTTCTTTTTTTCAACTCAGCATGAACTTCATTTAATTTATTATAGAGCCGAGCACAATTGAAACAGCCAGAGCCACTGGTATATTCCTTGGTCTTTTTCTCAAGCTGAACTAGGAAGCTTTGTATGGCTGCCACCGTATCCTGAAGGGAGCCAAGGTGGGTTAATAAGTCTTGGTGGGTGGTGCCAGGATTGTCGAAAGTGGAGGAAGAGGTAGCAAAAGAGGAAGCAAAAGCAGAACCCGAGAAAGGAGCAGAGGACTGAATTGGTTTAAAGCCATATTTCTCAAGAGACATTTTTTTTTCTGATTTTAAAAAAAAAAAAAAAATTTTTGATTAATAATTTTTAAAAAAAATTAATTGATAACAAAAAAATAAAGATTTATCATTATAATAGAGGAAACAAGGGGGAAGTGCACATGAAAAAAATAGAAAGGGCTAGCTGTACAATATTAAATATTGAGCTACGATCCTTTCTTGCTTTAACCTGGGCACCCAAGGAGTCAAACTAGCAAAAAGAAAAACTCCAAGCGATCCAGTGGAAAAGCTAGGGTTCCTCTATGAACTAGTATGATAATCATAGATGTAGGAAAGTAGAAAAGGAAACTAA